CCCCCCCCCCCAATCATAACAGGTGCATTACTGTCCTAGGAGCTACTTTTCTTGGAAGCTTACTGTTCTCAATGGGGTGCATAGAGCTCCATATTTTAATAATGTTCAAGGCAGGCTTTTTGGGGGAGGACCAGATTCTCCATTTACAAGTCACTTTTACATGAATGAACTCAGCTCCTACAAATATGAATTTTAAACATCAGCATAGAACCCTTAAATTGTTGCCACACATATATATTCCCTCTCTAAGTTAGGGATGGCAAAACACATAACATCTCAGCTACGTGAGAAAAATAGCCTGTAGTGAAATTAAGCACATAATTAAGAAAAGCCATAAGGGATAGAAGCAAAAACAAAAAACCAAATACATTTGTTTCAATGGCTTTTTGAGGAGTAACATTATAAAGTGGTGGGGTCCCTATATGGGACAGTACTACATTCATTGCAGATACAAGGCCTCACAGAGTGATACTGTCACTCCTTGAAAAAGTGCAATGATTCTTTCCCCCAGCACAGGGCCAACACTGGTGACCACTGCAGGCACCGGAAAGAAGCCTGGAGATAGTTATATTACCCTCATGCTAGCCTTACAGAATCTTCTCTCTGAGGGCAAATATTTTAAAGTTTATTATTTGAGTAGGATAGATGAGCACAAGGGACAGGTTTCTTCTCATGTCTGCTTTTACAACTACAACACAGAACTGGTGGACCCTGAAGTTCAGTAGTTTTGGTACTGAATCTTTGCAGACAGCTTTTCCAGCAAGTTTCTTATCTAGATGTTAAGACTTTTACACAATAAATACAACCCCCTTCCCTGCCCATAACGCCCTGCCCCCCGCTTCTCCCCAGTTAATCAGAAAACAATTTGTATTCCTCAGGTTAAATTATATTGAAGATAAGGTAAGGCTACAGTTTTCAGAAGTTATCAAGAAAAGTTAAACTGCATTGCCCCATAGACTTTAATACCTATTGCTAACTCATAATAAAACTATAAACTAGTTTTCTTTCCTAAGTTAGAGAATGCTAATTGAGAACACACATTCTTAACTCAAGTCTTGGCCATACACAAAAGTCCTTACCTCTAGCATATGGTTGATTTTACTTCTGGTTGCACAAACTGGGAGCTGCAAACATGACCCCAAACTTCTCTAACCCTTAATTTCTGGCAAGAACTCTATACTAAACATGTAGTGAATTTGCAACACACCTAATGTTTACTGTATGTTATACTTCAATATTATGGTCTATTTCCAAGTACATTATTAAGAATGCATGAATATTTAATGAGACTAAGATGCTTCAAGCAACAAAAAGTAAAAGTTTAAAAATAAGAAAAATAAGTAGCATTCCTTGTCTATCAGTAGAAAAAGTTTATTATTACAGTGCGCACCACTGTAACCTGCAACAGCAAGTAAACATTAAATGCAAGCATGCAATTATTACAGATTTTTGGAATTTGTTTATTTAAGAGCTTTGCATTACTGAATAACAATATTCTTTGCCTTTAAGACTACTCTTTAAAACAGTCAATAAAACATTAAAATGATTCTGTATTACACATGTGAAACATATTAGGAAAAGGCAAACATGTTTTCTTGTCAGGACAAACTCCATCAAAAGTTACTTTCCCCATAATGGACCTTATGGACCACTTTAGAAAAAACACCAAATCATAGCAAAAGCAAGAGTGGAAGATAAAAAAGCTAATTAAACAAAAATACTATTTAAAAGACTTGATAACTGTTCCCAGTTGTGCTTTATCCCATTTAGACATAAGGAAAAAATCATCCTATAAATAGGCAAGTAAATATTCCCTCTTCTCATTCACGAACCATTCATTAATAAGGTTAACAAAACATAGCTTTATTTCAGAGCACTTAAATGTAATCTGGAATTCTGGTGAGTCCCAATACAGTCCAATTTAGGACTGGGAATTCAGCTTCATGCTCTACAACACACTTTATTCTCCAAGTAGAAAGGTTGCTAGCTGGTATAATATCTCAGTTTGGAAAGCTTGTAGATCTTCTAAGGACTGTCATCTGTCATACCAGATCATGAGAGACAAATATAGTTAATTAGGACCCAATCCTGCAACCTCACTTTTGTAGCAGTGCTTTATAAGCAAGGGTTATTCTTCATAGATTTTCAGATTTCATAGACATTTGGGGCTGGAAGAGACCTCATGAGATCATTGGGTCTAGTCCTCCTGCCATAAGCGGGAAGTCAGCTGGAATCAAGTGACCCCAGCAAGAAGTAAATCCAGCTGTTTTTTTGAAGGAGTCCAGAGTAGGTGCTTGCACCACCTAAATCGGCCTTCCTGGAGTTTATGCCATTAAACCTTGTTATCCCTTATTGGCCTTTAAAAAGGCCCAATAAGGGATAACAAATAAAGATGGCAAGACCAGGTCCTTAATATATTGTTTCCAGGTCCTACCGTGGACATTTTATCTTAAAACAACT